ACGGGATTTATCACAATATTTATTTATACGTACGAGAAATTCGCGCTATTGATGCCTGAAATATACGGTGGCCGTAGGTCTATTGGAAGGAAAGGTTTTGGCGGAGTGCCTCTTGCAGTCTGCCGTACCCACCCCACCATCCCACTTTCCAATTGCCTCTCCCGCCCGCGGACTCACCCCCGGTCTGCGCCTTTCCAGGGATGGCTACGCATGTGGCACCGGCTTGTGGTGAACTCCTCGGTACGTATCTTCTTAGCTTCATCCAGCCGTCTAGCTTCTTCCCTACCCGTCTCCTCGCCGTCTCTCAGACTCTCAGTCTCTCGTCTCACCCTCACTCTCACTCTTTGCACTTTTCATGTCTCGTCCACAAAATCTAAGACATCCATCTCGAACTTCGCTCACAGTCCTCGGCCTTCTTCGCACTAATACAGCGGGACAATACGCCCTCGTCCTCTCGTTCCCTCGCCTTCACCCACTCCTACTGGCCACCACGTCCACTCCTGCTCCCACGCCCGCTAGAACCTCTCTCCTCCATACGGATACTTCACGTCAGAGACACTGGTTCTCGACAGTGTCAGAGACCACACAGGACCTTAGACAGCAGCCACACTTACCTTCCCCGGCGTTGCTGCAGCTCGACATGGACATGGACCTGGATCTGGCCCTCGACCCGAATCTCTGACCCCGACGCTACCTCTACATCTGAGCGCACCCTCACCCTCCCGAGTCCCGTCACCTTCACCCTCTCACACTCGCCTTGAGGAGTATTCGACCCTCAAAAAGTACCTCAGTCTTTTGGCCCGTCCCGTCGCCGCGTTTCAACCAGCCTCGACTGTCATATCTTAAAGCCTTCACTTCTCCGGTCCCTCTCTTCATGCCCGTGTCCCTACTTAGCCTTCAGTACCGTACTTCACCCTCGGTCTTGTGCTGATCTTCGGTCGACTTTAAATTTTCCATCATAAGCATCCTTATAACTTAATCCCCTGCTCTGTCCTATCGTATTCACCCTCACCTCACAGTCACATTTGCCATTAGCTCCAGCTTCAACCTCCAGGCTGAGCTACCTTCCTTGCCTTTACCCCTTGCCTACAGCTTCATCCGACTGATACCGAAGGCTGCGGTACCTACTACCTCCTTCCACTTTTCCACCTTTCTTATTCCCATATCGTGTCTCGCCTTTTCCTTCTGGCAGCACAATTCTACAAAACGCCCCCCATTCCCACCCAACCATTTCGTTCGGTCGACGACGACCTAGAAGCTCAGGGGAAAAAAACCAGATGCCCGCCATTTATATATCACGACCCATCTCACCTTGACGACCTGTCTCACCGAACAGTCGTACAATCTTGATCGTACAAGTACCGCCTCCAGCCAATCTCTCCACGACATTCTCAGTCAGGGTTTCTGTGTGGCCCATTCTTCGGCTCATTGCTCTCGAGTTCGTTCAGCCGACGTCGCGCAGACGAGGGACCACTTCATTCCTGTGTCTGACCCTTCGCCTGATTACCGGTTCAACTCTCGCTTCACCTTGGGGTGTTCTAGATTCACTGAGCTGATCCAGTGAGACTCGATTCACTCCAATTGTTGGCCTCTCCTGGTCTACCATTACTTCTGCCCGGGTGTTCCTGCCTACTTTCGTGGCCCCCGAACTTTCTGTCTCACTGTGACCTCACTTTGGTCAGCTCTCAGCATTGTGGCCGAGGCCTCTTCTTCCCATTTTTACTCTCTACCTCGCTCCTTCCCTCACACCTCAGTGTCTCGACGACCACACACGTCCCTCTCACAGGATTGATTTCTAAAAATTTCTTCCCCTTGTCATACCAACCACCCGCCTCTCACGGTTGATTTAACTCATAATACTTATAACCACGTCTCATATCTGGTATGTTTTATTCTTGTCTGCCCAAGTGGCCCTCCTGCCAATCTCACATCCGAGCGCAAAGAACTTACAAAACTCTCTGGAGATCAGACAAACACGCGCAAGTAGCCGTCACTCGACCTCTTTCACCATGCCTACCAGCTTCGACCGCTTGGAGAAGCTCTTCTCCCGGAAAAAAGACTTCTCCGTCCAAACAAGCCCATCAACGCCAACCATGGAGTCATCGGGTCCCAGGACTGCAAGTTTAGACCACAGTTTCCCTCAGCCTTCCTTCATCCGTCCACGAGTCTCCCGCATGAAGGCTAGAGAGGAGCGCATTGTAGCATCACAAAATGAGAGACGTACCCAGAGCCTCCCGGAAAACCAGTCCGAGCGTATCTCAATACACATTTCTCACCTCAGCAGTGCAAGCACGACAACTCTTACTCTTCCAGCCCGCTCCATGTCGCTCAATCACCGCAGGGAAACTAAGCCGGTGGCAAGTCTGCGTGGATTCGATTTTCCTTTTCCTCCCACATCCCCATCCCCGGCTTCGCCTTTTAGTGCCACTTTCTCTCCGAGAACCCTCCCCACAACGCATAAAGTTTCCCTCGAGCACCGCCACAGCTCTGTCATCATCCCTCCCAGAGCCGACACCCCACCTACCTCGGACCACGAGGACGACTCAAGCATAAAGGGATCCCAGGGCCGGCCTTCTTCTTCACTCAGCAGAGACCTGCCAACACCTGCCGCATCTCCAGAAATGAGGCCCATCAACGACATGAGATCTCGGGATTCTGCAGAGTTGAGCTTGGCCAAGAGGAAGGCGGCTGCTGCAGCGACAAGACGTCGGAGAGAGGAAAAGGCAGCTGCCTTGCGTCGGCCCCAGGGCCAGTCCAGACCTCACAGATCCATCACTTCATCAAGCCAGATCCTCAAAGGTGGAGATGTCATGGATTTCTTCAACCTCTCCGACGAAGACATCTTGGAAGAGCCAGAGTTGGAGGATACCCCGGAAACCCCGTTTATGCCGGCACCTCTGCGACTACCACCCTCACCGCCGACCCCTGCCTATACGGTGTCATCGGTCGGTTCCAAGCGACGGACATCTTCTATCCATGCTGAAGACGTCGCCAAAGAAGGAGCGCTGCAGGTTGCCCAGATCGCGGCCAAGCACAAGTTTGACCTTGTATATATCGTCAACTTGTGGCCCGAAGGAGCGTCAGAGTCGTCGTCGCCCACGTTCCGCTCTTCTATGGATTTCTCATCAAGGCCCTCAAGCATGAGAAACTCTCTTCTTGGGCCCATGGATGGACCAACGGTGGACACAACTCCCGGTATGACTGGGCGTCTGCTCGCCGCCTACGGTTTGTCGAACCTGACTAGCCCTTTCCGCATTTCGGCCACAGTTCAGTCCAGAATCTTGAAGCAGGAGGGCTGGATGGAATACCGCAGCGACGACGCGCAGGCGGGCGAGATTGCACGGGGTTACGGCCACGCCTTCCACACGGCCACAGGTCGAAGGGGCTCCGCAAACTCGAGTCCCCGGAGTCCGGGTCCGCAAGACGTGGCCCAGAACGATCGCGGCATTGTCTTTGCCGCCTACCGCTATCCAAGCAAGGACTCACAAACAACCGGATGTACCAAGGAGGAGCTGGACGCATTGCGCGCAGATGCCGAAGGCCTCGTCGATTACCTCGTCGCCATTCACAAGGCTCGACGCCTCCGAGATCCCATGACCCTACAAACCTTGGTCGATGAGGACGCCACGCCTTAATCAACGCCAACGCCAGCGCCACACTTTAAACACGCCGACACGACCGTTTCCTGATTTATACCAAACGCGATCAGTGCAACGGATATTAGATGATTACGACCCGTCATTCCTTGACACATTCTTCTTTGGCTGGATTTACACGTTTTTGCAATTCGTCTTTGATATGATACCACATGGAGAGCGTCGTCCTTTATTCGTAACATGGACTTCGTCATTTAGCTCGAAAAAAGGACATTTTCAGTCACATCCAGATAGTTCAGGTGCTAGGCATAAGCATCGAGCGTTGGAAGCGACTTCACAGAGGCATGGCATGGAGAGGATGGGTTCTGAAGTAGTCCATCCTGGACTCTTACGTAGCAAGTGGACTCGTTCCATAATGAAAAATAAAAACTCATGATACCTCAATCCGGTTTTCTCCCCAGCCACACTCGCGGGTCCCTGCTCTGGGCCGAGGCCATATTCCCATGACTGCATGACGAATCCGAGCGTACGCAGTCTTCGGCTTTACCGGCGCGAGTCGTCCTTTTTTCTTTTTTCGACAACAATCCGATCTTTTGTCTTGATGAACTCTTGTTCTTCATGCCTCAAAGCTATTTTCCTCCCTTCGGCTGACATGGACAGATCAGCAAAGCTCATGAGTCGGGTCTTGATTTTTGGGGGCTGAGCTGAGTCCCATCAGCAGTGGCGCATATAGTAATTGCTCATGGGAGGCCTGACCAATTCGCTCATTCTTTTGGTTCTGGTAGGGCCACTGACAGGTCCCATCATTCCCGGCATCATCATTCCACCATCTGGCAGCGGGCGATTTGCAGTACATTCACTGCTTAGGAGGCCGGGGAACCCCTGGTTTCAAAACTTCCCGCGACGCTGGTTGGGTGGGGGTGGAGAGAGAGGAGGGGATAGAGGATCCGGGTCATTTTTGGATCTTGTCTGGCCCAGGCTTTTTTGGCCAGTATGGATACTCCAATGGCGATGGGGAGGAGGGAGGCAAAAAAGGCAACGCCGCGACGGCAAAGCATGGTCAGGCATTGAGGAGGTCTCCGTTCGCCATGTGGTTAGAGGGGGAGGTGGCTTATTCAGTTGTGACGATGGTACGCTGGCGTGTGTTCGGGGATGGAGTCGTGGCCGTTGAGAGCGTTGGTAAACTTGGCGCCGATGGGATTTGATTGTCGTTGCGTCAGGGTATTATCTTCCTTCTCAATCCTTTCATTTCTGTGTGACCCCGCCCTTGACTGTCTGGGTACAGTACTATTCACAGTTTCTGATGGAGGAATATGAGGACACCCAGTTGGAGGGATCATTGGGCCAACTCTGAATGTCTGAAGGGGCTTGACATGATGTCAGCTGTAGTTCTGACGACAGTCTGACAGAGAGCCGCAAACTCTGGCCGGGACAGTTCATGATTCGATGCGGCTTTTCTGGGGGGGGGGGTTGGTGTATAGGGGTCTAGTGGGGGGTGTGTGGGGGAGAGTTGGGTGGCGGGGTTCAGCCAGCGGAAGGACAGAGGCCGCACCCCGGGCGGGGGGGGGGTTTGTGTTGGGTTGGGGGGGGGGGGGGGGGGGGGGGGGGGGACGCGGCTACGTGCGGACGTACTGCACGGGATACTGCACGGCATGGCATCCCTGGGTCTTGTGAACTTTGCCCACCACCCATATTGCCTACATACCTCCCCTGCCCACCCGCTGAACCCCGTTTTGATAGGGTTGCAGTGGATTGGGGGGAGAGCTTTCGAGCTTTCCGGGTGGTGGGAGGGCGATTGCGAACGTTTGGCCGGCTACCCTCATTCTTTTCTACATCCTTGGCAACTACCAGGAAACGGCAGGTTTTCTCGGGTTTAGTAATTGACTTCCTACCAGGCCTTTGCCTGACTTCAGCGGGGGAGAAGAGACATGAGAGGGGCGAACTTGTAACCTTCGACTCCCCCCCCCGCGCAACGGAGAAGGGCAAAAAGAGTTCTTGCGTCTTTTGGGTGGATGCGACGGCGGCAGGACGGCACGAGTTGACGTGGTGGACGTGTGCCGGTGCCATGTCTTGATGCCCTGGGCTTACCTTTTGCAATTGTGGCTTTCATTTTTCTTCTGGTTTCCCCCGCCGCCACGCCCGTGCGAATGGCTTTTGGTAGTCAACCAGTGATGAACGGCGTTTGGTACGGAACTACGGAGTATGAGTGCTACCCTTTTCCGCGGCTTACGGCTCGCGGCTCGCGGGCGC